TTTGCTTAAGAAATTATGAGAAAAAAACTATATCCCACATAGACGGGATTCCACAGGAACAAGTCTGATTTCTGCACTTACCTTCTTCTCCATCTTCCCATTGAAGGAGCCATTCCTGTTAACCTCTCCTCCCACAAATACCTTCTTGGTGACTGCAGATGAGCTTTTTAGGGCTTCCAAAAATCAGTGTGCACCCTTGTTGTTTGCATGAAATACATTGATGATCTGTCTCTGATGGATTTTCATGAATACGTTTTGATTGTGCTAGTTATTAAAAAAATCTGTGGTGTAGTAACTAATGTAAGAGAAAGTTAGGAAAATTTCTACCAGGGATAATAAAAATTCAGCTGATCTTGACTAACAGAAGGAAATATTTCAAGCCCACTTACACATTTTCCCCCCACATTTTGCAGTCCTAGAGTGCGTGCTGTTCTTTATGTATTTTAATATTCATGCATTTTTACAGACTTACATGTACACTGGTGGGAATAGTTGAGTGCTACAGGTTGACAATGTAGAACAGAAGGGAATTTCTACTAATAGAAATATGCAGAGAGTAGTACAGATCTGACCTGTGCTGTAGGAATTGATGGCTGTTCAGCTTCTATTAGGACGTCATGATTTCTCCCAAATAAAAGTTATAGTGCAAATAAACTTAGTCTTTTTTTAATAAGTATACATGAACTGGTTTATTAAAGCACTTATATTTCCAGTATCTTTAGGCTTTTAATTTCAGTATAAACAAGAGTTTTGGAAGGGTGGAGCTATACCATTTCTACATATTTATGACTAAGTAGAATTTAAAAAATGTATTTACCAATGTAAATAACCAACTTAGCTTTGTTCAACTAAAATAAAGGCGTGTAGTTTCAATGTAATGTACTCTGAGAAAGGAAGCAGAATCTAAATCTCTAATCAGTTATAAGTTAACTTTAGGCCTGAAATATTTCCAGGGGACCAAATATCAAATTGTGTACACTGATTATTCACATATAAAGACTGCTGTAAGAGATTTTCATAGGGCTTTTTAAGAAGCAGGCTTTAATGTTGAAAGATCACAGTTAAGAGTTGGAATACTTGTGTAAACTCTTCTTAAAATGATTGGGAGGTGATGTTTTCCAACATCAGTTCCCCTTTCACTTGGTTTTGCATAAATTTCACTTGAAGGCGTTTCTAGGTGGACCTGGAGTCATACTGTACAATGTGGCTTCGGAAGTGTATGGGCATCACTTGAGTTTCTCAGAAATTAATGGTAAGAACGGCCCACAGTTCCCCTCTAAACTTCACAGTCTCCCAGACAGAGGAATCAAAAAATCCTCCTGGGAAGTAGTAATTCTATCTCAGGAGCCAAGAGCCATTTCAATTTCTACTGGGATTACAATTTTCTCAATTCAATTCAAATTCTGTCATGCTGTAATGTTAGTTCAAGTTCACCCATTCTTCTGAACTGGCTGTCTGTTGACCTGTCCTGACCAGAAAGACCAGAAAGGTTTGCTCTCCAGGCAGGGAATCTCCAGCACAGGGACTAGTTTGCCCTACACAAATGCTCCTCCTACATGTGTCTATCTGTAGGTACATCTACCTATGTAGAGATCTGGACCTGCAAGCTGGAGCACAGCTCTTGAAGTTAATGTAGGTGTGACAAGTGCTGAAACACCTGGATTTACTTCACACCTCAAACACAGTTTATCCCTGAATTATTTAGCTGCTCATTTTACAAGACAGTATCCAGATCCACCCATTTATAAATTCTTCCTACACTGGAGAGCTCCAGCTGATGTAGCTTTCAGCTGGAGGATGTACTAAACTGCTTAATGATAATGCAATGTCTCTCCAGCACCCAGGATGCATCCTGTATTCCTCTATGCTATGCTCTTCAAAACTCAGAAAAGCTAAGAAAAAGAAATCACATATAATTTCTATAGCAGTTTTCTGAAAAAGTTGAAAAAACAGCTGTAGGAAATATATACTATAGATGAGACATTCTTCATTTTCTAGTACAAGATAGGAAGCTTTTATAAATCACTTTTCACAAAAGGACATTTGATGATTAAATTTATCTTATTGTTGTAATATGAAACATTTTAAATTTAAGTTCATTGCTTTGAGAAATTATCAGTTCTACCTTGTTCAGGGATAACACTTTACCTATTAGAAACTGATATTTGAAGCTTGAAATGTACAGTTTGGAATTAAGTTTGAAGCTTAGTTTCTCACAAATTATCCCTCCAATAGTGATCCAAGTGTTCTTACAAAGCATGTTCTAAGGGCATCACATAAAGGCCAGCTGTATAGATCTAACGTGACCTATTTTCTGCCACAAACACTTATTTACAGATACCAATCTACTAATATAAAATTACTGACAACCAGAATTTAGTAATATTACTTGGAATACAAATAATTAATTATTTTTTTAATTTATATGTAAAAAATTCTATTAAAGTTGCTAGACTATAAGAATGTCTTTAACAAATTTATGATCTTGAAAAAAGTTGCTTTTTGGGAAAGAATTTTTAGTTGCTGATATCATTCCTGTCCACTGTGTACAAAAACTGCCCAAAGACAACCAACATACAAATTATACAGTATCACATTTTTGTATATTTGGAACTCTAGTCCTACACTTCTGAAAGTAATAAAGGTTTTGCAACTGCCCTCAGTTAAAATGCAGTCCATGTCTGAATGAGGAAAGGTTATTTTAGCGATATGAGGGATCTTGATCTGAGTCGTTTATTTATGTATTGGATATCAGTAAGGTAAACGGAACGAGATGTGAGATTTGGTTCTTGTCATTTTATGTATGGTGGAGGTTTTTGCTAACTCATCTTAGGGTGGATGATTCTGCTTTTAAAACTTTTTGATACTGGTCTGTTTAAAACTCAGCCTGGTTAATGTACATTTTACTCAGTTTTAATAAATACCAGACACAAATATTTTACTCTTTTTTTTTTTAAGCTAATATTAGAGAACTTATAGGTGGGAAAATAAATTTGAAAGAGTGGCTAGGATGTTTTTTAAATTCAGAAACCAAACTTTTTTAATGATAGGACATTATCAGAATTTGTTCTATTCAGACTAATATTACCACTTCAAAAGTAAGATTAAAGGAAGCAAACGCTTTTCAAAAGCTTAGGTGTCCTGCACCCATATATAGATAAAGAGAAACCCAATCTTGTTTTAAGAATTTGCTGAGCACTGAACACCGGTAAGAAACACCAACGGGATCTGTGCTTTGGAAGATTCCAACCAGGCACCTTAAGATGAATTAGAGGCCTCATCTGCATGCAAGTATTTTTAAGAATATGAGCAAATCTGTAATGAATTCTTAGTGTGCCATTACTTGTAGTAAAAATCTGCAGTACACTTCATTGTGGTCCCTCTAGAGTTTATGGTAAAGTTTTAAATTAGTAACTATAGTATAGTGCTCTTTATTTAGGCTAAAAGGATTAAATATAGTACCAAACATATATTTCCTTTCATGGCTTGCCATAATACTTCCAAATGAAAGCCAACCATCTTTTTACTCTACATATATGTATTTATATTCTAAAAATGATTGAAAGAGAAGATTTGATTAACATTGGATTTTGACAGGGAAACCTACATTCCAGATGTGAAAACATTTCTATTTGTGATGAACATTAAACACAGAATCATAGAATTGTTGAGCTTGGAGGTCAGCTCTTGAGATTGCTTAATCCACACCCCTTCTAAACAAGGTCAGCTAGACCAGGTTGCTTCGGGCTATGTCTAGTCAACTTTTTAATATCTTCAAGGATGGGGATTCTACAACCTTTGTGGGCAAAGCATATTTTATCTCTGGGCATGCCTATCTCACTGTGCTTGCAATGACACGCTTGAACTAAAATATATAGGTTTAAAAAGATAACATATATAGTTATTTATCTTTCAGCTGAGAACATTATGAAGTCCACCACCATACTGGGGAAACACTGGTGACACTTGCAGAGACATCTTTCCCAGGAGACTTCAAATGTAACTTGAGAAATATTTGTTAAAACCTTTGCTGGCAAAAAGACTGTTCTAGCCAGGGAATTCCACTTCTGTTATATAGAGACTTTATTAATGTCTATAAATTTTTCCTACCAAGCATCTATTTGGCATTTCACATTCTGTTAAAAAAAAAAAAAAAAAAAAAAAAAGACGACTAGTTAGGAAAGATCATTTTAATTTTGTGGTAAATCAGAATTACTATAAAAGATTTTCTCTATTCCAAGTCACAGTATGAAAGGAAAGCTGGGTAAGGCAAGTGTTATTTAACACTAAATAATTTCATTTCCATGACTTCATCAGACTTACATATCAGCTATTCAGAAAATAGTCCCAAAGAGAGTCTTTAATTTAAACTGTCTGATGTTCTTTTGGCAGCTGTAGTGAAACCAAGAGATTTTTTCTCCAGAAAACTTGGACATAGTTTCAAATGCAAGAAAATGGGGGAGGTGGATTTTTTGTTTTTTAAGGTGGACTTTAATTCAAGTCATCCAGTTACTGTCAAACAACATTTTTTTCTGGAAAAAAATATGATTGACTATCATACTTTTTTTTAAAAAAAGACTAATACCTTTTAAATAGCAGGAAATGTTCTCTGTCCACAAAAGCTAAGACACTGTGAAATTAATAAATACCATACAACTTTCTGAAAACAATTTTTATTCACACAATTCAGTGCCATTAAATGTATTAGAAATAATTTTCCTAAACAAACCTTTGCTTCAGGCTATAACTCAGATATGTTCTCAGAAAAAAAAAGACATAATGGAGATGTGAATAAATAAATTTTGATTTGACATAGCAAAATAAACCTCTCTTTTACTGGCTGGAAACAGAAATACTTTCAGATAAGTCTTCATAAGCTTTATCAGGAAATTGGTTCTAGAAATCATGTTTACTGAAAGGTAAATGCTGCTAAGAATAGTACTGATCCATATTTAGAATTTCTTTCAGAGTCAGTTGTTTATTCTCCTCACTGTCCTTAGGTCTGGAAAAAGTGCCAAAAGACCTTCCTCCTGACACAACTCTACTGGACTTACAGAACAACAAAATCACTGAAATCAAAGAAGGAGATTTCAAGAACTTGAAGAACCTTCATGTAAGTGAATAAATGAACTAGCATTTTGAAAAAAAAAAAAAAAGAGAGAGAGAGAGAAGGAAAAAATGGGTTTGGCCTGTTCTCATTTTTTTTTTTAAGGAAAACTGATGAAATACTTTGTGATCTTCCTCTATCAGACCAGCCTATTTCTTTTTCCTTTCCTATTCTTCTTCTGCAAACTCTCTCTCTTCTAATACCACAGAATTTTCTCACCTCTTTTCAGCTCTTCATACCTGTTCCCTGACCATTCAGTCTCCAGATCTTTGTCATAACTTCCATAACCTATTTATATGTGTTTGTAGTCCCTTTGGCACAGTGACTTGGTTTATTCTATTTAAAGAGCAGATGCATCTCAAACCTTCCACCTTGTTCACTTATTGCTGTATTACTTCACCTCCTACTTCTGAGCTTGTGGAGATTTGTTTATACCATGTTTGTCAGCAGTTTCTCTGTACTAATTTTAATTCTACAACGAAATGGTGTTTTTGCAATAACCTTCTCCTAGCAGAACTCCATATTCATCCTCTTTTACCTGCCAGTCTCTTCCAATATTGCTGTCTGTTTTCCTCTTTGCTGAAATATTTTCCTTCCCTGGTTTCTGTGACTGCCTTTTTTTTTTCTGGTTCACCTCTTCTTTTCCAAGTTTCCATCAGACAACTACTTTCCTCTGTTTCCAAATTTTAGTTTCTCTGTCTGAGGTTCTCCTCCCTTATTTCTATACTTTCTTTCAGTTTACAATTCATGCCTTATAGTTTTGACTCAGTTTGTTGAAATATCTCTTTCTTTCTCAAACAGAAAAAGCCTGTCTTCTCAGCCTTTGAAAGGAATACCCCAGCTTAGACATATTTCTGAAAATATTATTTTTCTAGCCTTTCACTAACTGTTTATTCTGTGTCTTATTCCATTAGATCCTTTTGATTATAACCAATATAAACTGCTTGCCTTTGGTTTCCTAGCTCTTCACATCCTCTTTCTATTCTGTTGTTTTCATTCACAACCCAGAAGCCAGCTCCCACTTTCTTTCCCTTCATGATGTCAATGCCGTCATGCAAACAAGCACTGATTCAAATAAGAATCTGCATACAGCATTCATACGTGGGAGAAAAACAAAACAAAACAAAGCAAAACTCCCTATAAACATTTATCTTCTTAATTTCTTCCAAATTCCCTCTTTAATTTTTGTTTTAAACACCAGGAAGAAAATTTTAGGAACTTCTAGGAATAAGCATAATGCCAGTCTATGCATAGCAGATGCAACTTCATGAGTAAATCATTATGAGGTTCATGTCACCTAATTTTAGCATATGTGTCTTTGCTTAGGCTAGTTACATAGATAACCTCTTCAGTGCACAAAGAGCAGCAGGTACTTCTACATCACATTTACCTTGATTTAGGTATAGAATGAGATGACTTGTGCCCCAGATTTTTTTTTTTTTTAATTCCTCTGCTTGCCTACTGAACAGATTCAACACCCTAATTCCTGTTCACTTGTTTTGGTTTTGTTCCACCCTTGAGAGAGGTCTTGTGTTTTCAGTGAAGATTTTCTGCAAGGTGATAAAAAAAGATAAAAATATTCTCAGTGAAATTAATCTTTCCACAATTCTTCTTCGTGATACTGCATGAAATGAGTCAGAGCATAGTACTGCAGATGAAAAGCACTGCCACCAGTGACTTCTGCCTGCTTGGCACTCAGCTCAGGTCTCTGTTAATCCTGCTGTGAGTTAAACTGCGATGTAATTTCGTTGAGGTTAACTCTATGAATTGTTTTTCTTTCTTTTATTTCAGCAGATATAAAATAGTAGTGAATTAAATAGGTAACTCTTCAGGGAAGAGATTATTCATCTGTCTTACTCCCAAAGGTAGTACAGTTACAGAACTGTTACAACAGTAACATAAGATTTAACAAATAACTTTCAAAAGAATGCAGTTTTTCTGGATTTACTCAAGAACAAAAAAGGAACCTCTCATCTCCTCCTTTAAATAATAATTTAGCGTGCAGTACATTCATGTAACTACACAGCATCTTTACTCTCAGCAGGCATCATTCTTGTGTAATACCTGGGAATGATTCCCATCACCCACCTTGTATATAAATATTCTTCAGAGTCATAGTGAAAGGGGAATATTTGTTTTAGAGAAATATAATTCAAAAGCGTTGACAGAGCTCCATTGTCACTTTTGTTTTAAGGAGATTTATGTGTCTGTGAGATACATAAATATAGATATATATCTAACTTATATATGCTCATTGATCACATTCCCTCATAAACATGACTTGTGTTAGTCTTACACTTGACAGTGTGATGTTCAAAAATTTTTAGACTCCTTAGCCTTTACTAGTCTTCTTATACTCTACTAAAACAGAAAGATTTACATAAATTATCAGTATTATTGTTCCAAAATCTAAAGTTATCAGTAACTGCAGTTAACCTCTTCCACAAATTAATCAATTAAGGAAACAAGGCTTTAAATCCCAATTAGCATAGATTTTGAAAAAAAAAAAAAAATAGAACAGCATATTCAGTTTGTTCCTTTTGAATATTCCTTTTAAATTCCTTCCTAATTCCTGTAGACATATCATAGCTGTAATAGTTTCAGAAGAGATTTTCATGAACAAGATGGGTGGCTGAACCTCAAGTTCAACTTGTACTAAAAACCAGATGAAGTAAGGAGAAAAGAAAGGATCTACCTATAATTTTCTCAAGGCTTCTTTTTCAACACAAATGTGACTGCTTATGCTCTGAGTGCACAATACACACAAATATAAATGAAAGAGAAATTAGTACCTAAAAAAATATTCTTTGTATCAAATTTTTATCCCAAGTATATAAAAAAGCTGTTAAAATTTGCAGCTGTGAAAATATGGCAAGCAACTAGGACTAAGGGAACATTTATCTGTAAATGATAGGTGCCTGACAGGAAACACCAGAGTCAATAGTTTCGGTGCATTTTATAAGTTTATGGCTTTAAATTTATCTAGGAAAAAGTGGCTAAGTTATTAATGTTGTACTGTAAAACCTCAATGTGACTATTAACACTATTTGAAAATGAAAGATATTTTTATCAGAAGGCTGGAGACAACAGGGAAAAAAATTGAAGACAGTCTTTTTTTAGGGCCAAGGACTGAGTTTTGTGGTTTCAGAAAACTGTCTGATATTATATAAAAAACTTGTTTATGATTTAGACCTGTGGCAAAACAATCAGAGAGACGCTACTGGAAAAGTCAGGAAAAAAATCTTCTATGAAACTGTCAGAATTTTCCAGGCAGACTGACATTTCTGGATAGAGTACAGTACTTTGACCCCATGGACACAATAATCCAAAATACTACATGAGTAAGCCCTCATGCAGAGCGAAGGAGGAGTCTACAAAAACAGCAGATACAGTTGCAGGCTGTGTGGCAAAGCCAAAGCAAACCATTATAACACCTGGCACTTGGAAAAAGAGGTAAAAGAAACTACTGTGTATTAGATCACTAAGAACAGCACAAACAACGGAATAGTGACTCCATGCTTTTCCAACAGGAATTTTTCAGTGGCACAGTTTTAGTATAGCAAATGAAGATGGATGTGTTGTTGGCCTGAAATCAAATGGAACATGGTTGTATATACAACAGCACTAAAACCAGCTGTATTTATATCAAAAGAAAAGACCTACACAAAAGATAGAAAATATTTAAACTTGAGAATGAAGGTTATGACCATATCCATTCTAAGGGATTATTAACACTAAATGTATGGGCAAATAAACTGAAACACTCTCTGGTAATATCCATTGGAAAAATAATATACTGCATTTGAAGAACTTCATGCACTCCTTTTTTTTTTTCCCCCTTTCCCTTTTCATCAAAAGAAAGCTCCTTATAGAAGGACAAGGGCCCAGATTAACTGGAGAAATGTCTAAGAACATCTCTTCCAGAGATGTAGAAAAGCTCCTAACAGATCAAAAAATATTAATGAAAAAACCAAAATCTTCTGCTGACTCATTACCACTTTTTTTCTCTTTTCCCTGGCATAACTAAAAAACAAGTTAAGTAGGGATGATGTAGGCAAATCACTGAATGAAAAACCAGTAGCCACCACCATACTGTTAAAAAACACAGATATCTCTGTCCAGTTTCTACCTCCGAATTGTATTCCCACTATCATGAATGCCAGACATTCTTAACAGAACCGAGAAATACTTTTTCTTTTTTTTTTTTCACACTTGGTGCAGATGTGGGTTTCTAAATATTCTGAGAAAATAAAATATTTTAATATTTATGCAATGCAGCAGTCCCTTAGAGAGTTGTCATTTCCTTAGACTCTCTCCTTCCACTGAAGCAAGTGTGCAACACCTGACATACATGTAAAACATTTTTATATGTGCAGCGGTAAAGAACTTTTCATGTGAGGAAAACAACAGAAGAAAGTACTTAAGGTCCTTCAAATTCTGGAGTAAGTGTACTAAGCTAATGAAAAAAGGAAATTTTATAGAATATAACAATAAACAAGTGAATTGTGGTAAAATGAATGACCAAAAGGTTTGCCTTACAAGGCAAGGAGAGGATGGAGTTGTTCACTAGAACTGCAGAGCATGAGGAGGATTATATTTTGTTGGAGTAGTAAAATGTAGGGGCAACTGCTCCCCAGTCTTCTGTGCAAGTCATTTTGCACAAGACTTATCAGCAAGATAAACACTATGCAAACTGTATCTGCAGCAGGCTTCTTGGCTTGGTGAGATTTTTCAACAAGGTATTGTGGATGTGATCAAACTGCTTTCCTCAGTCTTCTTTTGTTTATACTGACAGGCTGTTGTTTCAATGACTTGACATCTCCTTCCCTCACAGTTCGTTTATTTCTTCCTTATTGTTTCTGTCATCCCTTTTTCCTTGCATTTCTTAGCCATATCTACTTTATCCTACATTTGATAGGATTACTACAAAAACTTGCCAATGAATTTAAGTAGCAACAAATAAAGAATAATTGTACCCTCATGTTTTTTTATACCTTTATCTTCTTCCTGCCTTAACTGTAGATCATGGGCCCTTCAGGAGACATAACATCTGGACTTCTGTTCAGAGACCTCCTTGGATTCAGGGGTTCTTGTTTCCTTCAAGTTTACCAATGTTTAAGATTTTTAAAATGGATTTTAAGGAGCATGCTAGTTTTGTAGGACTCTGTCTCCTGGTATAACACTCTGTGGTTTTGGTGATGGTGTTTTCTTCCCCTAAGTATATATCTACTCCTAATCATTTGGCAGAAAATCTTGACTCTGTGTCCAGGCTATAAGTATGATGTAACAACTAAAAACATAAAGCAAACAAAAAGGATGAAATTTATGAATATTTTTATTTGGATGCCTGACTCCCGAGCTTAAAATTCTTAAAACATTACTGTTCCTAGCAGAACTGTAATAAAAAACAGGTAATAATGTAATACATAACCCAGGAAATTAAATAAATTCCATTGGGTCAGTGAACTGGCTTTTCAGTTTAAACCCTGAAGGACGCATGCATCATTAAAGATTTGATGTTAGGTAAGAGTACTATCCCCATCTGGCAAAGCAGATGTATCACTGTGCATTATGGCTGATAACTATTTGCTGATCATTTTACAGTTCACTGCTGGTGAACTAGGAAGAACAGAAGTAGGGATGGAAACCCCTCAGAACGACTCTCTGAGATCCTCATATAATGAGATTACATCAAAAAATACAGTCCCCTGCTCCCCACTGCCAGGAAGTGCAAAAAATGTAAGCCTTGGTAGCCCCAGGAAGAACACCACAATGCTAGTCCCTACATGGTTGCCACATGCTCCCTCTACAGTTTGTCAGGATGTATTTTGACAAAAGCCTACTGACAAGTGTTCCAAAATTTTCCTGAATTGTGAATCCTCCTTTTTGTTTGGGAAATAAATATTTGAAGTAGAAACCAGGCCAGAGGGAGCTAAATGGCTAGACTCCCACTGACTTCAATGGAGCCAGCATCTATTCCTGTCATACAGTGATTTTTTTTTCCTGACTCTACTAATACCAGAGGTGTTTCAGTAAAAAGTAAGCCATTTTTTGAGCAAAGCTTGCATTTTTTTTTTCTCTTTGAACAACACCTAAACTGCTGGTCATGATAAGGTGGTCCATAGGTATTGTCACAGTGCAGTATTATAACAGATTCAATGCTAACCGTGCAATGTTTAAATACTATACGTGAAAAGGGAGAAAGGCTTTTTTTTTTATGGCTAAATAGCTTCGCGCCCATACCAGGTCATGCTGAAAACTGTACTTTTCTGTGCTCAGCCTTCTGTATTGTAAATTGGTGATATTCTTCAACTTTTGTTTGTTTGTTTTTTTTCTAATGGAAAGTGGAGGGTAGGCAGGGGGAGTACATTTGCTTTTTTTAAAAAATGTCTTTTTCCTTCCACTAAAAATGGAATCATTGAAGAAGATAAATTTTTTAATAGAAGTATAAATTCCTGTAGCTCAGTTCTAGTCTGTCAGATTTCTGCCAAATCATTTCATTCTAGCAGCACCACAAGTGCTAGCTGTGGCCAAGGGCTCCATCAACTTCAGCACTTTCAGGTTGACTTTTATTTTCCTTTCTGAGTACTTATTGCTGTATACAAAATTTTTATATGTCCTTTAACAAGATTAATATAATGCCCCATCATGCCATCTGTGGTTTATTCAGGATAACTAGTCCATGTGGCATGTTTTTGCCTAACATCTCTTCCTCAATAACACTGCCTGCAGATGTTTTCCCTAGGTTTTTCTCCTCCAGTTCCTGTTTTCACTGACCTTTAAATTCCCCTGAGTTTTAAATTTTATCTTATTTTGTTTTGGTTTTGACTTTTGTTACATGCAAACCATACGGGGCACATTCTGAGGAAAGTAAACAGCATTGCTCCAAGGCTAATAACTTAGTTCTTTAAGTCTTGCATATAATAGACCTATTGTGAAGTGGGAAAGGAACCCAAGGGTATGACTGGCCAGGTGTTACACTGGTGTGTTATCCTCATCATTTGCTGCTGCTCTGGGAGACACTAAAACTTCTCTTGCAAATTCTGATGTGTGCGTTTATTTTTTCTTCTTTACAGCTGCACAACAGTGTGGAAAAATGATGCAGGCTTAAAGTACCAGGAGCAGAGATTTGCAGAGCAGACTGTAAATGGGAAATGATATTTTGGTACAAAAAAGTTTAGAACTTGAGATACCTTTCCATCTTATAGCACCATACATACATTCCCACTGTAAAATCAGTATTTTTAAACATACATTTGGTAGATACCACTATTTCTAAGTAAAAAATTTTTCTGGATGTTTGAATAAAGCAACAGTTCTGTGTGTTTCCCCAAGATAACATGATCTGTCAAACTGCTCTGAAGAGCTGTAACAATCCTCTTAACATCAACTACTCAGAGAATATTTACATTGCCATGCCTAGCTGAATGTATACCTACCTATTTCCACAAAAAAAAAATCTTTCAGATTGGATCATCAGCTGTTATAATCATAGACCACACATTTTTTATGTAAAAGGCAATAAAGTTAAAGCAAATCAAATAGAAAAAAAAAAAAAAGGCAATTTTTTAGCTGAAATAAATGACCAAGCAGTACAAAGCAGGTTTCAGGATAAAAAATTCAGGTGCTTATGAGATGAGTTTAAACTCACTGGATGTTGACATAGAGATCTATGGAAAAGAATCCATGCTAAACTTAAAAATTAAAAAAAAAAACAACAAAAAAACAAAAAACAGCCATAGGACCTTCAGTTATTCAGTTATTATGATAAAAACAGTTAAAAAGACTCATCTGCAAAATTCAAGCTGTACTCAACATAACTAGAATGTTTCCCAAGTCCTAACATTGTGCAGGTAGCTGTATTACACTATGGGCAAAATCTACATTTCTATCACAATTCTGGCCACTGAGGAAACCACACCCTGTGTGTACCCCATGTGTTCGCACAGTAGTTCTTATAGCTAAAGCCTGAATAAAAGAGAATTGGGGCCATAGCTGTCACTGACCAATGTATTTATTTTGGGAGAGGCTTATTTTTGGGGAAATACTTCACTGAACTGTGAGTGAACTCTCCTCCCTCCTCTTGCAAATGTGTTCTTGGTAGCTAAGATATGAAATTAAAACCAGATATGCTCAGCTTTACGTGTACTCAGTGAAGCCATGTACTGAACACACTGCCTCCTTTGCTCAGGATGATCTGCAAAAGGAGTCCATTAGGGAAAAAACACACATCATATACCATTTTAAACTATCTTCTGACCTGTCTTTCAGTTTTCATGATGGAGATGTGCTGTCACAGATGCTGATGCACTTCTTGGCACTGTTTTAAAACTTAGTTTATTGGGAAGAGTTGAATGCTCATTTTTCCTCTAAAAGACCGAGTAAAGTATAAATCTGAAAATAATAAAAAATTATTAAAATACACTGAATGTTAACTATAGTACACACAAGATAAAAATTTGCAGTTTAGTATCAACTGCTGTATTCTTTTTCTGAAAATAGTGTAATGGGGTTAGTGAACAAAGGTGCTCTATAGCTATTGCCTAGTAATAAGTAGATATTATATCTGTATTTATACAGCCCATTCTACCTACCTAATTCACTGCACAAAATTGCAGAAATATACACCTGATAAGCAGACGACAAACGCATGATATAATAAGATTTATTTGGATATGAATAGCGGTAATCCTTTCCATTAGTTGCATTACTGTTCTGACAGGAATGGGACTTTCTTCTGCCTTTTTATGTCATGGTTGGTTAATCAGTATTAGAGTTAGCAGCAATGTAACATTTCAGAGGCATACAGAAAACACATGCTACAGGTAACAGGGCTTTCTTGGAGGCCTTTCTCCCCTGACTGTATAGAGAGCTAATTTAGTTAGAGATACCCTGAGTCTAGATATCACAATTGTTCCGAGAACTTGATTAGGCACCTACACAGTAGGCACAATGGATATGGTCCATGATCCCTAACTGCAGAACTTAGAGTATGACACTTCAAATTGCTCCCTTTTCATACCAAGTTACACTTACAAAAAAAAATAGTTTATATCTCTGAAAAAAATGAGGCTATTGTCAGACTGAAATCTAGTAAGTGCAGTCTATAAGACTAAAAGGAAAGAGGTGATGATATGCATAATTTTATTAAGCTGGGCTGTGCCTTCGCTGTATTGAGTCAGAATTTTCTGTTCAGGAAAAACTGGTTAGCATCACTGTGTGATAATGCATAAGATAGAAAACTATCCTCAGAATAAACAAAATCAGAAAAAAATTAAACAAATAGAACCGCTACTCATAGTTTTATGTGAATGTCTTGTTCTTCACATCTTTCAGATGGAAGGGTTGTACTTATTCTTGGGTATAAATTGTGAATGTTAATAGAAGCTGCAAATACCTAAGCAATGAAATAACAGTTATATTTATTATGTGGGCCCTCTGTATCTTTCACTGTTTCAGAAGTACTTAATCTATTTGTTTTAGGACTGCATTGCATTTTGTTCAGCTCCCTAGACTGACCATCAAAAGTCAATAGAAAAGAATAACAATTTTTAAGTGCTTCATTCCTAAAATAATTTCCCTAGTGATCATCTGAGATCTCCTTCATTATTACTCTACAGGCATTGATACTTGTTAACAACAAAATCAGCAAAATCAGCCCATTAGCTTTTGCTCCTCTGAAGAAACTGGAAAGACTTTACCTCTCCAAGAACAACCTGAAGGAACTCCCAGAAAACATGCCGAAGTCCCTTCAGGAGATTCGGGCTCATGAGAACGAGATCTCCAAGTTGAGGAAAGCTGTCTTTAATGGACTGAATCAAGTGATTGTCTTAGGTACGAGCATGACAAATTATAACAAGATCAACTCTATGTTTTTTCAAGATGATGTTTTTAGTTCAATCAGTGAGTTTATGTAGAAAGCCAAGAAATGTTCCAATAAAAGATATGTCCAATTTAGCTTTGACCTGAAGGATATAGGTACTTACACTGCAGCACAACTCATGACCATGTTTCATTGGCAGAACTAGGCACCAATCCAATCAAGAGTTCAGGTATTGAAAATGGAGCTTTTCAGGGGATGAAGAGGCTCTCCTACATCCGTATCGCGGACACCAACATTACTAGCATCCCAAAAGGTAAGAAATTAAATTAATACTTCAGAGATTTGCACAGGTATAATATAGAGATTTCTAGACATCTGGAAAAAAAAATACTATGGAAACTTTCTAAGGCTATCCTTAGAGTATCAATTACTTGGATACTTCACTTTTTTGGTCAGTTGATTTTTATTGGTTTGGAAAATGTTGTTTTTCTATTATGAGAAGCTTCACAAGAAGCGAGTGTTGAAAGTAAGCCATTTTATGTTATTTTGCTTTTCTTGTCTCATAGCTGAAATATAAGGTGGAAGGTTTTCACCCTCCAACCCTGACTGGTGAGCCTGATCAACATTACACAGATGTAAACTCATGCAGAATTAACTGAAGTTCTACAAGCATAAAATCAGCCCTCTGCAGGTCTTTGTGTTTGATGCCAAAACTATTCCTATACAAAACCACTGCTATTCCTGTACAACACTACTGTTCCTAACAACACTACTATTCCTATACAAAGCAAACATTTGCTACTTTTAAAAGTACTTCATTGCAAATTGCTACAAAACAAGAATGACTCTGACATAACCTCTTCAAAACAAAACAGAATGGTTCTAATCCAGAGGAAATTATATTCAATTTATTCATACTTCAGCAGATTGTTTTGAAATAGATGAAATTTTTTTAAAAGTTAATGCTAATATTTATTTCTTTTTTCCCACATTTCCTGTTTTAAATGTTCCTATGAGGGACAGCAGACAGTTGAAATATTTGGTTCCAATTTTTTTTTTTTTTCCCAATAAACAGAATTTGCATACTAGTATGTGCCCTATGTAAAATAATGTTAAAATTCTTTTGCTTTATCTTTATAACCTCATTTTCTGCCAGGTGTCAAATGTTTGTACATTTATATATGTGGATAGTCTGTATAAAATAACAGCTCTTTCTCTTACAGTATTAATGTTCCATTTAGATAATCATGAAGGCCAGAATTCATATCTGAGAAGAATTTAATTTAGCTGTTTTTTAAGAGTTAACTGTTCTATGATGACCTTATGATTTCATGACAAATAAATTGTTACTAGCTTATCATTTTTCATTTTCCCTGATAGTGACTGTTCCTCACTTCATTCAATGAATTGCTCTTGGCCATACCTAGCAAAAATCCTTTTGTACTGTAAAAGACCCTTAAGGACTGTAAAAGTCCTTTAAAAAATACAACAATCCAGTTTTAGCAAAAGTAATTTGGTGGTATTGTCTGTTTCAGGGCTTCCCCCATCCCTTACTGAACTTCACCTTGATGGCAACAAAATCAGCAAAATTGATGCTGAAAGTCTTTCTGGACTCATCAACTTGGCAAAGTAAGAATTCATTTCTTCTTCATATAAAATATTGAAATTGTAGTTGAATATAGCTGAAATTATAAACACCACACATACAATTAGAAAATGGCATTCTAGGCTTCATAAGCATTATTATTATTGAATCAGTACACAACTTAGCAGGAAAAACTTCTAGGAACTTGTGTACTGGCTTAAGAGAACAAATCACTGTTTTTCCCCTAATAATACTTTCCAGCAGTTTTCAATTATGCCCAGGACAAGTGTTTCTTTGATTGAAAAAAAAAGGTAAGGAGAGCAATTAGATTTTTTTAAATTATGTCAGCTTCTTTCATTATACTTCCATCTTTGGTTTATGCCGTTTTCTTGGGACGTTGCATGGCTCATGCAATTTGCCCTGCAAACTGAGGAAAAAAACCACATGAGAACCAAAACTACTTGTAACAGTGTTTCCTTTGCTTCTCAAGAAAGGCAAGTCCACAATGAATCTAGGAACATAACAAAACCAATCATACAATAGGATCAAAAAAATGTCATTTATTCAGAGTGATGGTACCTTACTAATCTGTGCATATGTTGCTGAATAGGTTTCCCTAACTGCAGGACAAGGTATGAGAATTGTCAAAGAACAGTTATAGACATACAGAATTATTGTGAATTTGTTGACATTAGATAACAAGCTAAAATAGTAAAATGAACCTTTACTACAAGGTGTTTTAATATTATGACACTTTAAAACTTTTGTATGAAGATAGACATGTAATTCATCTCAAAGATCATTAATCAGAATGCTGGATCTAATTTCTGGATCTTTGTCTTAATCATTCTGTTTGTTATAATGAAGGTAGAAAGCAGAAATCAAAGAAAGACTACTGAGCAACAGGAATAAAGTTTATCACTGTTTATGGTAGACTGGTCAGCAGTTTAGTGCAATGAAGTATATAATATGTATTTTGAATCTGATGATTCCAAGTAATAAAGCTTAGAACACCTTTATATACCTTGTAAAACGAGACCTTTCATCTTATGTTTGATGTTCATATTTGATCACAGATTCAACTCTGTCTCTCGGGTAGAGAGTAATTTACTGTACAGGAGGAGGGAGGTGTGGGGTGTGTCAGCTGTCCTACAGATGACAGAGTTTTTCTGTTTTTTCACATTCCCACTTTGAAAACACCGCAGACAACATCACATGGGCAATATTGTTGAAAGTCCTTCCTAAGACATAAAATTTTATGCAGTAAGTGTTGATGGACTACTAAAAATATCTAAATTTGGGCTGCTTCTATTGTGGCTGCACTGTACAGAGAAACAAGATACTCTATTGATTGTGGAAACGTGGAATTGATTAGAGCAGGCACCATTTTTTAAACTGCTCTCTGGCTTGTGCTTAAGCAAACATAAGCATAATGAGAAAACATCTATTGCAAAGGTGAAAACTAAGGTGGAATACATATTGGCCAGAAAGGAGTGCATTGGACATAACTGACCAAACAGATGAAGAACGGAGGGAGCTATGGGAGAGCTCCAGGACAACATATGGGATAAATTTAAGGGGCAGCATGCCCCTGATGCCACAGAAAAAAACTACCAAACCCCAGCTTTTATTTAGACATCTAAGTCTTCAGGAACATCAGCATGAGGTCAGACTAATCTACTTCTGATCATGTCAACTCATGCTCAACAGTCTAACAACTGCCCTAAAGCGCAGTTAGACTTTGAGAAACATGTAATCTTTCTGATTGTGCTAATGTGTTTTGAACTGTAAAATGTTCCATGCAAGAGCTCGATGTAGATCTACTGCTCATTCTCTTTTAATTCTTGTCTTCCAGTATACCATAAATATTTATCTTGTATGTTGTTGTTGTCGTTGTTGTTTTCCTTGCAAAATTACTTTTAAGTCTTCACATAGTCCTGCAGTGGAAAAAAATAAGCTCATGAATGTAAAGTAAACAAAGAGTTCACTAGTTACAGTCAGAAATTAGGATGACCCACAGGAGGATCCACACACTACACGACTGATGTTACTGATGTCCATATACTGTTAAAGTTTAATGAAAAGATCTAGCTCCATACAGTGAAAGTTGCATCAAGCCCAGAATAATGATGATGTTGAGCAGCATCAAGTTTGTTAAAAAAAAGTGGAAATGGGCTAGCAGGGATGTTAGAGACAAAAGAAGGTGAAAAAAATATTTTAGATTTTCTTCAATTTTTAGATGATGCTCTTTGATGATTTAGAACACTATTACTGGATCAGATAAAGCACTGGAGAAATGCTACCCATTCACTAATATAAAAGGAAGCAATATGTGAATATACCAAGAAACAGTGATTTTTCATATTTTTTTTTTTTCCCTTGGGAAAAGGAAGAGAGGTGCAGACCATATTCTTTCATAATGCTCTTAATCACCCTGTATTTTGCACGCTAATACTGACTTTGTTCATAAACATAGCCTGGAGTGACTGAGAGTTTGTTATATATTTAGATCAGATGTAATTACATATAATTTCTCTGCTTGTAGGAGTTAAATCCACTTTTCTACAGACTCCTCCA